CTAAAAGGGGTATTTGACCACACTATGTTTTCAAAACTAGATATCATGGTTAGTAGAGGCCGATCTTTGATCGGGCGAGCGGGGGTGCTCACGAAGTGACCTTCCCCAATCGTACCCAAGTTCCCAAGCCGAGGCAACTTTGGTGATGACGGATACGTGGCCTTAGGCAACGAGTCAGGGTTTCCTAAATTCTCCCAAAATAAATATTTAGGCGGCGACTCTGTATCTGGCAAAGCAGTCCGTGTTTGGCACTTCTTTCAAAAAATCTGTTTTCAAAAACAATTTGCCAGATTTGGACTCTTTGATGATTTTATCGGTCTTGCATTGCACTCTGCGAGATTAGATACAGGACCGTGACATAAATTGAGTCTGAACTGTAGTGAGGCCCGAGGGCGCGTCTAAACACGGCCCCCGGCCTATCACGCTTGGCCGAGCAATATCACCGACCAGAATGCAGAGTACGCATGCCCGACCGAGCTATGACTCGACCTGACATTCGGACTGGTCCCACAGTGATGCGTTAGGATTGAGCCGAGTACATAGTGGAGTGCATTTCGGCCGAGATGAAGAACCGCACACCTCAAGGTCGGTCAGTTCGGATGAACCGCCTTGTTATAATTCAGTCGTCTTTGTCATGGTGGTGTTTCTTCCCCAAGGGATAGGTCGGCCATGTCAGCCCGGTTGTGTGCCACCTGGACCAATGATGTGGCGAAGGGGAAACCCACTCCTGGTATGCATTAATATCGTTTGGCGATTCTGCTAAAACTGCTTGGAGGTTTTGGTCTTTACACGTGTAAAGAAGGTAGAGGGGAGCATGACCTCCTGTCCAGGGAAGGACAGCAGAGGTAGTGCGCCCACAACTACTAAGGCTGCATGGCCAGTCTAGAAAAAGGAGGATGGAGGAACGTTGGAGGTAAGCAATCTGAGGAATTCACAATTCTTTCTCTCTAAAAAGTGCTCTCTTCTTCTTCTCCTTCTGGAAGTGTACTGACTTGCTCGTCGGAGGGTCTATCCGACAGCACACCGTCGGGCCGCTCACCGTCTTTCTGTTTTCAGGCCAAGCGATGTTACGTAAAGCTAGAGTTTAAAGAGTACGGAGAACAGAGGATATTTCACCCCTGTACAATAACCACACCCAGTAACAAAGGGACTACCATTGCCACATAACAACACACCCAAAGGAACTACCATTGCATCTACTAACATCCACAACAAGTTATTTTGAAACAATAGAATAAGCATTTCAGGTGTTTCGACCACTTAGATCTGACTTTTGTTTGTTCATCTCATAATTCCCGTTTCAATGTTAATTACTTGTACATGAGTTTCAGGGCATATCTACAACAAGTATATGTGATTTTTTCCGTTTCAATGTTAATTACTTACTTGTACATGAGTTTCAGGGCGTATCCACAATGAGTATATATACATATTAAAGTGTGATTTTTTCCATTTTAGTTGTTAGCGTACAATTAATCGATTGACATTCCTATAACATCAACCACAAAATTTTAACTCATTCAAATATATGCATTTTGAAATAAGCGATTTGCATCAATCGTTTAACATTGAAATGAGGATCTTCAGTTTGGAAAATGTGCATGTGTTTCACTAATTACCTACATCGCATACAAATATATGTATGTCAATCACTTTCCCAACGTCAAGCCAACAAACCCATCGCAAAATTTTCAAACTTCAGAGCCTCATTTCAATGATAAGGGCTTCCTTCAAATGGATTATTCCAAATGGCATTTGTTTTAGTAGGTACAATCAGAGACGGATCCAGGATTATGACTTTGGGGGGGCCAAAGTACGTTTAACCTCTAACAAATAAAATTTGAAGTTCAATACCAATTTCTACTAACATGGAAAAAATCAATAATGCTATGATAAAATATTGAACTATATATTCCTTGTCAACATAGTTGAGTACCAAAAGATGATTATACAATTGAGAATATTTTTTTGCCCATATTCACTTACAAAAAGTAGTAATTATTTCTACATGCATTTATATACTAAAATTAGGCATCTTCAATTGAACTCGACGTTCTTTCATAATATCAAAAGCATGGATGATAGAATCTACATCAAACCCTCGATCAATGTCTTTTTCAATGTACGTAATCAAGTAACTAGCCAGAAAACCATCTTCTATCCTATTGCGCAATTTAGACTTAATGAGTTTTATAGCTGAAAATGCACGTTTTGATGTAGCAGTTGAAACAGGTAAAGTCAACACAAGGCGGATCAATCTATCAATAAGAGGATAACTTGTTAACTTTTTTGTTTTTGCCAACAATTGACATAACTCAGAAATGGTTGAGAGCTTCTGAAACTCAGGAAGTATGGAAATATCAAGCTTATAGTTTTCCAACTGATATTTCAAATGTAATTTTTCTTGCTCGAAGAAATCCATGGGATAAAATTTATTTGCAAGTTTGCAAATATCCTCAATTTTGAATGATCTATAACCATCCCTAGGATCCGAAGCTGAGCTAAGAACAAGCAATTCCATTACATCTTCCTTAAACCTATTGTTTAGTTCTTGTAACTGAGAATCAACTATAACCATAAAAATATCAACTCGAAAATGATGTTCCATGGTGAGTTGATCTCTTTCAGAATGAGACCGACCTCGGCCTCCTTTATAAGGACAACTCATATTAGGAATCTGTATACCATGATCATTAGAAAATAATTTAATTTTCTCCAACAATGGAACCCATCCATCTTCTCTAAATTTTTAAATAAGTATCTTAGTTGTAGACACCAAATGCATTGCATTTAATATATCTTGAGATTTACTTGCAAAGCTTGGCAAAGATCATCAGTAATCTCCATGATATCCCTCATAAGATGTAAGATGAAGACAAACTCAAAAGATGTAATGGAATCATAAACTCCATCTGCCTCATCTCGTTGATTCAATTTGCTTCTATCATTAATTATGTTTCTTAGGACTGCACAAGTAGCACTGAACATATTTATCAAACTACAAATTGGGGGGGCTACTCTATATAATTTTGAAATTATCTAAAAAAAAATTAGGGGTGCGAACTCCTATAATTTTAAATTTTTTTAAAATTTCTAGTATAATTATGATATTTTTCAAATTTTTTGGGGTGCGGCCGCCCCCCCTAGATCCATCCTTGGGTACAATTCTTCTGGTTGATGTCGCACTTATGCCGTTCAATTAATCACGCACTAACATATAAACTTACAAAATCACGCATCGAGATGACTACATATGAACACCAACCTCAACAACATCACCACATATTTGCCCCAACCACATTACAACACAACATGACAGACCCCAACGCATAAAATATAACCATGGTAGTTGAATTTGTTAACATGTATGTTACTAGCATCACAGCCCAACTATCGAATAACCCATTCACAATCCACATCACCACCAACTAATATACAGCTAAAAAAATAGGGGAAATGACACCCCACCATGACACAATACCAAAATCAACACCATAACTACCCCTAACATTACAGTTATACCAAACACACCATAACAACTTCATACGGGCCAAAACCGCAAATATATTCCAACTCACCAATTGCCAACAACAGGAATCACAAAGGAAATAGGCATTACACAACCATAACCTTTACGGAAATCACAACACCCCACCCCTACCATTAACGTTCGACAACGTTATGCTAGAATTTCTAACATTACGAAACTATAATCAAATAGAAACATACCATATTAAGTTCACAAATCAAGCGTTACACAACATAGAAAACCAGAGATACAAAATCAAGCGTCAACCTATCATCTTCCCACTAACATTGGAAACTTAGAAATTTCCAGATCCGTCTCTTCCGTTCCGATCAGTTAGAAGGGAAACCAAAAATCTTTACAGTAAGCTTTTGGGTAGGGACGTAAATTACACATCACCAAAACTCACATTTGCCCCTATTAGCTGGTGCAACATGCTCTAAAAAATGGACCAATTTGTCATTAACACTAGAATGGGACTTATTGGTTTATAAGATAAAAATCAAGACTAAATGGATCAAAAGTTAGAAATTTGGGATTTAATGGTGCATCACCCTTTCTTTTTTAAGTCAAAAAAATTACTTTATTTTTTCTTATTTTTTGTCTTTTCTGATTTTTTTTTGAATTTTTTTAAAAAAATTATAAATTTCCGATTCGTGTTATCGAGTTGAATCAAGAAACCTAAATTTTGTTGGCTTTTTTTTCAAAAAATCCACTAAAAATGAAAAAAAAAAAAAAAATCAAAAAATAAGCAAACTCCAAAACAAGTCTGAATCTCCCATAATCATGTTTGTTTGCTAGTTTCATGAATTATGAATAGCAATCCAAGTGAGGGTTTGAGTCTAAAATATCATTATACCTTCACTTTACAAAAATAATAAAATTATTTTTTATATATTGAGGAGTTTTATAGCTAATAGCAAGTCCAACGCTATTTTTTATTTTTCACTAGTTAAGATATAAAAAATAAATATATTGTTTGTTTTACCTAATTATTATTTTTATTTAAAACTCCAACACTACTCTTTAATTTACTTAATGTGGGGACATATTTTTTGAGTACCAACACGTGGCTGAAGTGTCACCGAAGTACCAGTCGAGGTGCCACGTGTCCTGATCATGACGCCGAGATAATCTCGGTTAGTCCGAGGTTATCTGCAGAAATACCAGAATCCGGGATAAGTGGATAAGGGACACGAGTTCTAGAATGAGAGAGGCTTTCAGTTTGGATAAAGATAAGACTCTAAGAGAGTTTATTCCAATCCTACTGGGAGTCCAAGTGTAATCTTAAGTTCATTGAAGCTAGGTTTCTATTGGCACTAGGATTGTGTTGGCTATAAAAGAGAGGCACCCCAATGGGTCTAAGGTACGCTTTTTATGCTCTGAATAGTGAATTGAGCACTTTTTCTATCTTTGAGAGATAACTGACTTGATCATCGGAGTGTCCCCGGGTGGACGAACCACCACCGAAACCTCTTCTTTCTGTTGCAGGTCATTCAGGCGTCATCTATTCCACCAGTACTCTCTAGTTGAATACTAAGTTGACAGTGTGGTCAGAAATTCACTCACACACTTAACTATTTTTTTATTTAAAACCCCAACACTAGTTTTTATTTTATCTATTTATTGATACAAATTATTTAAAGGGCCTCCAAAGATATTTCAAATGTAACTAATTTAAATTGTTTTTTTTATTAAAATAACTAGTGTAGTACTTAACTAGGTTACTATCACTACAAGAGCGCATATACTCTAATATCACTACAATACTACACAAATAAACTCAATAATATATCTTATATGTCCAACTTAATAACTAGGTTACTATCATACTAATAATTTTCTTAATTTAAGAGGGCATTTGGGTTTGATAGAATTGATTTTAGTTATAAAAATCATTCATTTTTAAGATCCACTGCGTAGAATATTAAGATCATTGGATATCAATAGGTATATGTTTAAATCAAATTTATATTATAATTTTTTTTTAAAGTTATATTTATTGTCTATTTTTTAAAAATAAAAATTATTCAAATATATAACTAGTGATATCTAATTATTTTACTTTTTTTATATAAATATTCAACTCAATAAATTTAAAAAATAAATAATTAAATCACTGAAATTAATTTCAAAATAAACCTAGAAAGTCCAAACAGAGAATCCTAACCGTAATAGTTATGTCCATCGTAATCTAGGTTGTGTGCTCGCATGACTTTTGTCTTGTTGGGTTTGGGCATATTGATCGATCTATGAGAAATTTAGAGGTTGTTTGGAGTGTTCTAAATAAGTGTTCTTTTTGACTTTTTATGAAATATGAATTGGGTATGGGTTGAGTTTGAAGTGATGTGATAGAGAGGTGATGTGACTTAAATAAGATGATGTGACTTAAATAATATAGTAACTTTTTGACTTTTTAAATTTTTTTGAGGATGCCAAACTTAGCCTTACTTAGGCATTTTGATGAACAACTAGTGCAGCATGTCAAGCGTTAAGGTGATTCGGTGGCTGATTGTCTTGCAAGGATGGCGGTTGATCTTGATGATGTTGTTGTTTGGATGGAGGAAATTCCATCTTCCCTTGTGTAGCTTGTGGTTGCTAAGCCTCTGGTCTTTCTATGTAGTTTTTTTAGAAGTGCTCGTGATTCGGTTGTGTTTGGGAAACATTCAATTTATCATTTGTTCGTCGAGTTGGTGGATTGAAAAAAATCAATCCGCATTTGTCTGCCGGATTGGTCGATGCGAATTGAACGGATTGACGAATAGATGCGAGTCGGTTTGGCGGTTTAAACTTTAATAAATTCTGAACATAATACAACAGTTTGTTAACATTTTTTTTGGATAATAATCCAACTCAACATAACTAAAAGATTATCAAGTAAATTGTCAAATATCAATAATAAATATATATAAGAAAATCATATATTATCAAAACTATTTCATTACTTTTTTTTATTTTAAAACTATTTAATTTGATTTTTTTTTAAATGACAAAATTAAATTTTATATTTTCATACAAAAATACAAATATCAACACTTGTCATTTGATAAAATGATTTTCAAATTAAAAACACAACAAAATATCTAACATATTTTTTAATTGAAAACATAAACAGAATATCTAAATAATTGAAAATATAAAATCTTACAAATTATTAAAGGCACTTGCAGTTTGGGGATTCGATTGTGGTCAAAGGAATTTTAAATCCGTTATCCGTTCAAAACTAGACGGATTAAAAAAAAATCAATTTACAACTGCCTACTCATCATCACGCATCAATTCAAAATGCGACAAATTTATTTAATTTGGCCAATTTAAACAAATCAAAATATCACTGAGTATCCTAATTTTTTCGGCTTTTATCTATCTTAAAAAATAAAATAAATAAAAAATAATAATCTGACAAAAGTGAACATTTATTTATTTATTTTTGTTTTTGTAGAGAGTGAAATGAGAACTCCTCTATTGAAAAAAACCCTTTGAACGCAACCATTTTGAAGTCGGACCTTTTTTGCACCCAATTTGAACCATAGTTGTTTGAAAAAATTGTACTTAAACACCATTGTTGGGACTGGAAGATCTCCGATTGATTTCTCAGAAAAATGGTCTCTGCAAAACAGATATTTTTATCGCATTTACCTGACTATTTCAAGGAATATATGTTCAAGGAACTCAACAGGTTGCGCTCAAAATATTTGGATGGAGTGGTTTTCTGGAGCCGAGAAGACGACGAACCCCAACGTGTTTTCTGGAGCCGAGAAGACGACGAACCCGAACGTCTTTCTTCTACTCTCCCCGACGGCGGTGAGTTACTCCTATCTCTCTTTCTTTATTTCTTATGATTATTATTTTTAGATTTGAATCTTTATTTATTTTATAGTTTAGTCGTTTCAACTCAATTTAAATCAATAATGTTACCTTGTGTTGAAATCAATTTGTTTGTTTTTATCAGATATTTCCAACTTAAACAAGATCATCAGAGATTTGCTTTACAGAATTACAAACGATTGGGCTCCTTCTCCGTAGCTAGTTCAATTTTGGGCACGCATAACAACAAAAGAGGGCCGGTCTTTCCTTACAACTCGAAACCAACCTTTCTCTCTAACATCATTTTGGTATGAACCTCCTATTGAAGGACTTTTGGGGTATAGGATGATCTGTATGGATTCTAAATTTGACATTGATTTGGATGGGGGAACAAGTCTTCCTGGGCGAGTGTTCAAGCATCAATTCCCCGAATCCACGTCTAATCTGGAGTTTTACTCTATCACAGAGTATCCACAGCGTGACGATGCTATACGTTGCGGAGTTCGAGAATCTTTCGCTTTCCCAGTCTTTGAATCTTCTACTCAAAGGTGTGTTGGCGTAATTGAAGTAGTGGCACCACCAGAGGAAGGCGTTATTTGTAACAGCTATTTTCGGTACAGAATATATAAAGATTTTGAGGTTAGTACCCCCACTCACTCACAAATTGGCATTTTCAATATCTTGTTAATATTGATTACTCATTACACTCTCTCTCTTAGAACATCTACAGTGGTGTGGTGGGTTTGTTTGTGTAATAAGTTGGTGGGGGTTTGCCTGTTCAAAGAGAAAAATAATGCTTTAACGCAAATGTTATGTTGCGGATCTTGGGCACACGAGGGGACACTCACAAGCAAAAACACAAGACTTTTAACGTGGTTCGGCAAACCGGCCTACGTCCACGGGAGCGATGTTGTTATATATCAACAAATGGAGGAGATTACACACTCTTAACTCACTGTCTCTCTATATAACACACTCTCTCACACTCTCTGATACACAAACAGAATATAGCTCTCACTAGCTCTCTCTGTTTTGTGCCTCTCTCTCAGCAGTGTGTTTCTCTCTTGCTTGCTATGTTTGCCGTGTATTCAACTCACCATCACCATTCTATTTTATACACCAAAACAGAAGGTGGAGGAGGCCTCATGGGTGTGTTGGCTGCCAGCCCAATATTCTCCTTTGAGCTGCTGTCCAGTTGAAAGCTTTGTCCCACCATGTGAAGACTTCACATGGCCAACTCCATGCTTTCTCCTTTGTTGCTGGCGCATGGCAAGCCTCATGGCTGCCAACTCAAGCCTCATGGCTTGCCAACTCATGCCAACCTCTTTTGCCTTCCTTTTACCATGTGGGTTGGCCACCCTTCCATGTGGCTGCCAACTCAATTTGGGTTGATCTCCTACAAATCACCCCCTCAACCCATATGAGGTGATCCATAATAGCACCCCCTGCCTGGAGTGCCCGGCACCCCCTCACTGGGGTGCCATGCAAAGCTTACTTTGCAACTCTTTGAGATGGCATCTCTCCCTTCCATCCAGTCTTGGAGAGATCCCAATATGTCTCTAATTCAGGAGCAAAAGAAACTTTCTTCCCTGAGACATGCTTTGCTGGCTTGGTCTCTTTGCTCTGAGCTGTCTTTAAAATTGGCCGCAATGGCTCCGTCTTGTGCACCTCCGAACTGCCTCCATGCGTTCTTGTACACTTTGGTTGCCATGTCTGCTGGGCCCTATGTCTCTTCTGTGCATGTCTTGTACGTCTTGCCCGGTAAGTGACAGTAGCTCCGTCTGTCACAACCTTCTCCACAAGCCTGTACAGATTCCCCTCCAGTCGTCCATGTAGCATCACCGTATCTCCATGGATGACTTTGAGATTTTCTTTGCTAGATGTGAAGCTATAACCCTTCATGTCTAGCATACTTAAGGAAATTAGATTCTTCTTCAGTCTTAGCACGTGTCGGACTCCATCCAACGTGAAAATTTTTCCATCTTCCATTCTCAGCCGTACTGTTCCCATGCCAACAATCTTACTCACAGTGTTGTTAGCCACTCGAACAATACCTCCATCCTTGGCTTGGTAGGTAGAAAAAAGTTTCTTATCCATGCATATATGATATGTGCTTCCGGAATCTAAGATCCAGTCATGTTTCGTCATACTCGACGAAACTGTAAATGCATACTCATCCTTAGCATTTACTGCAGCAGCGACATTTGATGAGCTCCCTTGTGTGCCTTGTCCTCCTTGAGCTTTGCACAGTCTTTTATGAGGTGATCCTCCTGATCACAGTAATAACACTTTCTCCTGAAGCCTGACCTTGATTGCGAACGTCCTCTTGATTTGGATCTACCCCGTCTATCATTGGACCTACCTCTGCCTTGCTCATTTTCTGAGGCAACCATGGCATTTCCTTCTGGGTGTTTGCTACTGCTACCTTCCTGTTTCTTCATCGACTCATGAGAAATGAGCGTAGCAATCACCTCATCCAGTCCAAGAGCATCCAGTCCAAGAGCATCCTTCCCGTACAATAGAGTTGTCCTGAGATGCTCATATGATGCAGGTAGAGAGACCAACAAGATCATAGCCCTATCTTCCTCCTGGGTCTTGTCTCCAATGGTGTCCAATTCCATTGTGATCCTATTGAACTCGTCCAGATGTTCTGTGAGGTTCGCACCTTCTGGCATTATAAGTGTATATAGCTACCTCTTCAGAGATAACCGGTTTGTCAAAGACTTTAACTTGTACCTCATCTCTAACTTTGCCCATAGCTCCGCCGGATCTACTTCACTGATGACTTCCCGGAGTGTGTTGTTCCCGAGATACAACTGAATTGTACTGTTTGCCAATTCCCTCAACTCCTCCCACTTGTCATCCCTCATGTCTTCCGGTTTGTTGGACTTTTTGAGAAGAGCCTTCACCAGACCTTCTCGTGTTAAAATGTTTTTCACCCTTTGCTGCCACAGGGTAAAGTCATTACTACCATTAAAAGGCTCAATCATGAAACTTGCGCCTTTTCCTGCCATTGTAAATTTCTTCCCTTTTTAAAGAAATTCCGATTTAAGAATCTGACCGTACGGATGGGTCCGGAATATTTCAAATAGTTGGAACGCACTATTGGATCGCCAAAAAACGGACTCCGAATGGCCTAGATCTAGCCAAAACAGTTTCAACGGTTCAGATTTGCTGAATCTGGTGCGCCTGAGAAGCACCAGATAATTCCTCCGGATCGGCTGGTCAACGGCGCAGTCAGCGGCTCGGTCAACGGCGCAGGGGCGCGGTCAACGGCGGCTCAGCGGCGCGGCTTGGCTGGCGGCGCGGCTCCGGCGCGGCTCGGCCTGGTCAGCGGCGCGGTCAACGGCTCGACGGCTCGGCTCGGCTCAGGATGACGTCAGCCTGACGTCAGCTTCACGCGCGCCCCCACTCGTCTTCTTCCTTCGTCGGCGCGTGGGGCGCGTGGGTGAGAGTGGCCTTCACTCTCGATATTCAGGTGGCGCGTGGCGGCGCGTTAGAGCTCCGATTGGCCTGTGGTTTGAAGTTTTGGACTCCTCTCCTCCTGACCTTCCTCCTGGTATGCTCAAAAGTGGATTTCGACCACTTCGAAATCTGGACACTTTCGGAAAAAACTCGATTTTTCTCCACCCGGGCTCTGATACCAATTGTTGCGGATCGTGGGCACACCAGGGGACACTCACAAGCAAAAAACACAAGACTTTTAACGTGGTTCGGCAAACCGGCCTACGTCCACGGGAGCGATGTTGTTATATATCAACAAATGGAGGAGATTACACACTCTCAACTCACTGTCTCTCTATATAACACACTCTCTCACACTCTCTGACAAACAGAAAATAGCTCTCACTAGCTCTCTCTGTTTTGTGCCTCTCTCTCAGCAGTGTGTTTCTCTCTTGTTTGCCGTGTATTCAACTCACCATCACCATTCCATTTTATACACCTTGGAGTAGGTGGGAGTGCCATTGGGTAGCCTCCATGCTTGACTTCGGCAGCCTCCTTCTTTGACATGGTTGGTAGCCTACTTCCTTGTTGACCAACCAAGGTGTGTTCACAAGACAATTTCCCCTTCACATGGGGTGAATTCAACAAATCACCCCCTCAACCCATGTGAGGTGATCCACTGCACACACTGCTGCTAATCTTGTCACGCCCAAATTCAACAAAGTCTGCATCTCTTCACTGAGATGCTTGCACCCCCTTGCCTGGAGTGCCCGGCACCCCCTCACTGGGGTGCCATGCAAAGCTTACTTTGCAACTCTTTGAGATGGCATCTCTCCCTTCCATCCAGTCTTGGAGAGATCCCAATATGTCTCTAATTCAGGAGCAAAAGAAACTTTCTTCCCTAGGACATGCTTTGCTGTCTTGGTCTCTTTGCTCTGAGCTGTCTTTAAAATTGGCCGCAATGGCTCCGTCTTGTGCACCTCCGAACTGCCTCCATGCGTTCTTGTACACTTTGGTTGCCATGTCTGCTGGGCCCTATGTCTCTTCTGTGCATGTCTTGTACGTCTTGCCCGGTAAGTGACAGTAGCTCCGTCTGTCACAACCTTCTCCACAAGCCTGTACAGATTCCCCTCCAGTCGTCCATGTAGCATCACCGTATCTCCATGGATGACTTTGAGATTTCCTTTGCTAGATGTGAAGCTATAACCTTTCATGTCTAGCATACTTAAGGAAATTAGATTCTTCTTCAGTCTTGGCACGTGTCGGACTCCATCCAACGTGAAAATTTTTCCATCTTCCATTCTCAGCCGTACTGTTCCCATGCCAACAATCTTACTCACAGTGTTGTTAGCCACTCGAACAATCAAAAAATAAAAAATAAAAAATAAAAAATAAAAAAAAATAAACATCAATCAATAATACATAAATTTTTACAGGTTTGAAGTTTTGGACTCCTCTCCTCCTGACCTTCCTCCTGATATGCTCAAAAGTGGATTTCGACCACTTCGAAATCTAGACACTTTCGGAAAAAACTCGATTTTTCTCCACCCGGGCTCTGATACCAATTGTTGCGGATCTTGGGCACACGAGGGGACACTCACAAGCAAAAACACAAGACTTTTAACGTGGTTCGGCAAACCGGCCTACGTCCACGGGAGCGATGTTGTTATATATCAACAAATGGAGGAGATTACACACTCTCAACTCACTGTCTCTCTATATAACACATTCTCTCACACTCTCTGATACACAAACAGAATATAGCTCTCACTAGCTCTCTCTGTTTTGTGCCTCTCTCTCAGCAGTGTGTTTCTCTCTTGCTTGCTATGTTTGCCGTGTATTCAACTCACCATCACCATTCTATTTTATACACCAAAACAGAAGGTGGAGGAGGCCTCATGGGTGTGTTGGCTGCCAGCCCAATATTCTCCTTTGAGCTGCTGTCCAGTTGAAAGCTTTGTCCCATCATGTGAAGACTTCACATGGCCAACTCCATGCTTTCTCCTTTGTTGCTGGCGCATGGCAAGCCTCATGGCTGCCAACTCAAGCCTCATGGCTTGCCAACTCATGCCAACCTCTTTTGCCTTCCTTTTACCATGTGGGTTGGCCACCCTTCCATGTGGCTGCCAACTCAATTTGGGTTGATCTCCTACATGTTAAACACTCTGTTAAATTTGTCATGTGTTTGTTAACTATGCTCGGAGGGGTTAACACACAAAAGAGTAAACCACATTCTCATTTTTCTAGATCATGAGCGTTTTAAAACACTCATGTTTGGATGGCAAGAACAATTCAATGACGCATAATAAGAATCTTATGTCAAGTCTCTTTCATTTCGTTGTTTGGATGTGTTCTAAAATGAGAGTGCAATTCCTAGTTCGGTTCGCGAACTGGAATGACATTACTACACTAAGGAGTGTTTTGTTGGTTGGAATGATTGTAGGTTTGAATAGAATGGCTAGTAATCTTTGGCTTTCCAATAAAATGACCATTCTCCTAAATTGGAGAATATGGTGATTTCATTTCCAAATTTCCAATGTATATTCTTTCCTTTTTATTGAACCAAACATGATAATAGATATTATGATGGACTGAATTTTTTCCATTATAGAGTTTTTTTTTGCTTCCTTTTATTTGCAAAATATTATTCTACATTTCAAAGTTCATGAGATTCCTCAGTTGCATCTTTCCATTCCCCTGCAGGAGTTTGGTCTGAAATGTTCAGTTGTATTTGATCACAAGGACATGGAATTAGTAAGTGGCAAACTATAATGCAATGCCAAATTTGTTTTTTTTATTTTTCTTAAACTAATATGGTGAGGAATATTTGTTCACTAATACCTGGATGTGACAATACTTGCAAACTAGGATGAGGATGAAAATGAAGCTCATACAATTGCCTTGGATGAAATCAAGAATGTGTTGAAAATGGTATGTGATGTTCATGATTTACCTTTAGCTCATGCATGGGTCCCATGTGAGGTAGGTTGCCCATGCAGGGCTCTGGTTGATGGTGGCATCCTTCATGCAAGTTGTTATTACAAGAAAGATGACTATGGTGAAGATGAAGATGAAGATGACTATGGTGAAGATAAAAATGCATTTCATCATATCAGTTCTTCATTTCACTTAAAGAATGGGGTGGGGGTTGTTGGGAGAGCACTTTTGTCCACTAATATGGTATTCTGCAGGGATGTAGCTCAACTTAGCCTAACTGAGTACCCATTGGCACACTATGCACGAAAGGTTGGATTAAGCGGTTGCTTAGCAATATGCTTGGAGAGCAATTGCACTGGAAATGATGTTTACGTGCTAGAGTTTTTTATGCCGATGAGCAACAATGCCAGTGAAAACCCACACACCTCATTAAGGAAAATATTGGAAACAATGAGGAAAAATTTTCGTTGTCTTAGGGTTGCTACTAGAGAAGAACTTGAGGAAGAATTACATATTGAAGAAATTAGTATTCAAAATGGTGAGAAACTTGATCCTGTTCAAATCCCCCAAACCACTATATCTTTGCCTCAGCTGGAACTCTCACAAAGTGAAGTTGAGGTAATGCAAGTGGATTCATCAGATCAGCAATTAGTGAATGCCATAAATACTGGAAGCAATGTTTTTGGTACAGAACATAACAACATTGCTATTACTTGTACACAAGAGAAAGACACAGTGAAGGCGTCAAAAAGAAAAGGCAACAAATCTGGAGGCACAGTAAAGGTGTCAACAAGAAAAGGCGACAAATCTGGAGGCACAGGAAAGGCGTCAACAAGAAAAGGTGACAAATCTGGAGGCACAGTAAAGGCTTCAGACAGAGAAGACAATAAAACGGGAGTTAAAATTGAAATTTCCTTAGAAGAAATCCTGCAAACTTCAAAAATGAAACTTGAGGATGCTGCCCAAAGCCTCGGAGGCATGCTTGCACTTTCATAAATTAAAATATAAGGTTGCTTGTGATCTTGGTAGTTGTTTCAACTAGATGGACTCTTCTATAGACAAATAGAAAGTCATATCTCTTATTTGGATTCTTTCTTTCGCAGTTAGTAAATCTACGTTGAAGTGTGCATGTAGAGAGTATTGTATTGAGAAGTGGCATCCTCGCAATATAAACAAAAACAAAAACAAAGGCAAAGCACCAATGGATCCAACTGTCAAGAAAAGTGCCCCTCCATCTATGCCAAAGCTCATGAGAGACTCAATTACAGATCTCCAAGAATAAGAACAAAGGACGATAAAAGCAACTCAAACAACCTCAAGGGAGGTGAGATCAAAGAAAAGGCAAGAACCTTCCACCACATCCATGCTTCAGGAAGATTTTAACCCCACATTCAGTGAACGGGACATTCCATTGAGCCAAATGTTTGAACCAACAGTCCATAACTCCCCAGACCAAACATATCAGGTACAACTCTCCACCTTATGCTAACATACCTTCTAAAATTGTTATATAACTCATTTCAAGTCTTATCCTCTACAGAGAAAAAGGAGAAGAGTTCTTATTTCAATTGATATTGAAGATGAAGAAAGTCCCAATTCCACACCTAAAGAGGCCTCCCAAACTCCTTCAAATACACAGCCTCATCATCCTTCCGAGCCAAGTGACCCAATTTTGAACCAATCCACTTTGAACAACAGTCCTGATGTGTACTCTTGAAGCCTTTCCAATGGAAGTCATATACCCAGGAACAACTGAACCCTCCAGTATCAATCTTAGAGACGTTACTCTTGAAGCCTTTCCAATGGAAGTCCTATACCCAGGAACAACTGAACCCATGAATTTTCCTTCAGTCACCTCTTTAGACTCATCTCAAAATGGCAATCCAACTTCTATTGATGAGATTCCAACCAGATATCACTGTGACATTTCATCACCACTCAATGATCAATTCAACGAGCCTTCCCAATCCAAATTTCAAACCAACCCTGGTAAGCACATCTCAAACTCAACTTACCAAAGCTACTCAATAACTTGGTTCTCAATTTTAATTCCCTTCCACTAAACTCTTACTTTCTATCACAGAAACAGAAACAGAAGTTGAAGGAACTCCAACTAATGGTCCTGAACCCACAAATGAAAGTAACACAGAGGTTAGGACTGAAAAAATGGACAATGCCCCCTCATCAGATAAACAAGTTGGAGAGCATACACCTACTCCCATGGATGACTCTCATGGAATCAACCAAACAACTGGGGTTAAAAACATGGAACAAAATCCATCAGTAAATGAAAACACTGAAGACATTAACCCACATGCAACAAGTGAGCCTCCTGGAATTTCCCCAAGCTTACAAGCTCTAGAGGTTCCAAGTACTCTGATCAGCCTTGAAACACCTCATGTTTCAATGGAGAAAACAACAATTGGAGAAACCTCAACTCCAATTACCAACCCCCTTAACCCAGCATCAACTGTTGTGCAGGTAAGACTTCATTTTCACATCTCTCCTCCAATTAAAACCTTCTACTTTGTCCTCAACTTCTTCTGTCGATAGGCTTCTTCATCCTCCAATACTGGTAGCCTGAGCATATGGGAAGAGATTGCAGCTTTTCAAACGAGTGTTGAACACATTTCTCCACTTCCAAAAAGTCTCCATCACTTCAACCCTGAAGATCAACAAGTCGTATCTTCCTTCCTGAACCTCATCAACACTTCCTTTGAAGAAATAATCTCAAAACAATCGATGGAAACCTTGAATTGCCTGACTGCTATTCAAAGGCTATCTCCAACTCCATTCAGTCAAAACCAACTCTCTCACCTTGCCCAAATCATTTCTGAATGGTCAATCATTGTGGAGGCTGCTCAAAACTGCAGAAATACAATTCAAACAAAGAAAAATTTCTTGATGGCTGTCCAAACTACTTCTGATTCATTGATAACTACTTGCCAAGCTTCCTTCAATCTTTCTGATCAAGACAGAAGTTTAGCTCTTCAAGAAACCAGATTGGAAGCAGAACTAGCCCTTGTCAGACAAAAAAGGCATGAACTTCAGAAGGAAATGGACAAACTTGGCCATGAAGCCAAAATTTTACTCTCCAAGACTGAAAATAACCTCTCATCAATACAAGCTGCGAAGGAAGAATTTGAGCAAGCCCAAGCTACATTTGCAACCACCCAATCCAAATTGAGCATCCTTGCACACATTTTCCCAAGGGACTAAACGAATCTATTTTATTTTTTTATGTTTGTAGTTTTCCTTTTTGTCCTCTCTTTGTAAGACTTAATGGAAAACAAATCTGTCTTTATTGTGAGAGAACAGTCATTCTATAAAGAGGATGAAAATGGTCATTGTATTCTGTTCAATTTCACTCTGGTTAAGCAAACATTACATTACTATATTAGTAGTTTAAAAATAATTTTATTTTTATAAAATAATTGAAGTGGTAAATTATTTAATAATAATGGATGGTTATTTACTAAATAAATGGATTATTTATAGAATATTATCGAGTATACCATTTACATTTGCCTCTTAAGAAATAATTTTTTTTTAAATTAAAATTTATCAAATTTTATGGTCAATCAGTGACCTCATAAAAAAATTAATTAATTAATTAATAACATTACCCATTGAAAATGTTCAAAATCTATTTTCAAATTATAATTGTTGTGAAAAATAAATTATAATTGAATTATTCAATAATATAATATTTTCAAATTAGATTTATCACTTAATATTTTAAATAATTTCCGTGCATAGCATAAGTAAAAAATGAATAATTTTAGTGTTTATATATGCAATAAAAAATTTTATTGATATAAAAAAAAAAAAAAAAAACCTAAACAATTTTTTTTAATTATATATAAAGGCCCCATTTTTTTAATTTCGCCTTGGTTCCCATAAAGTCAAGGTCGACCCTGATTGAGTTTTTTTTGTTTTTTGTTTTTTATATTTTTTGTTTTTAATTAATTAATGTAAATATTTTATGTATTTTTTTAATTTTTTAGATACATCTAATTTAGACACACTTAAAAAATATAACATTTATGATTTTTTTTTTTTAAATTCACCAAATACAAAAAAGAAAAATCAGTGAAATATTCCTCTCTAACTTTGGATAGTAGGAGGTCCAATATATTTTTTTTAATAGTTAAGGTCCCTTGCTAAAATTTCTCTATGATCATACAAGAGAAATTTCGAAATTTCTCTGCGCTCATATCAGAGAAATTTCTATATGAAAATCGAAATTTCTCTGTATCAGGTCGAAATTTCTCTATATCAAATTTTTTCTATGAAAATATTAAGGATCCTTAACTACTATGAAAATATTGTATGTCTTTTATCTTATAAAATATTAATATCAGGGACTTTAAAAAAAAAATTCTCCTAAAAAAAATTGTAGAATTTTGATAATTCTGTATATTTTTATATTTTGTTATATTCAATGAATTTTTTATATAAATTTTTTACTTCTTAAGTATATTGAGATTTAAATCTAAAAAAACGCATATTGAGATTAAGTAGATCTAAACAGTAAAAAAAATTTAAAAAAAATTGATTAAATTATTTAAAAAAATAATTTAAAATGCAAAAATATGAATTGAATACTTGTAAAATTGTTCTTAAAAATTCCAAATCAAAATGTTTTACCAAATATCAATACTAACAATTTAAAATTTGTTTATTGTTTTGTTTTTGGTTAAGGTTTGTCTCCAACTGACAGTAGATATTGGAACTAGGAAGGTGCAATCCAAGTTAGCGGTGTGTGCATACGGTCGGTGACCCACACTAGGGGTAGAGAATCGAAGAACTGAACCAGATGAAATTAATCAACTTTTTTGGGTTGGTTTAGTTTGATTTTTTAGTGTATCGGTTTGGTTTTGAATTTTTAAATTATTAAACTAATAAGATTGGGTTAATTCTTGATTTAGACTTTGTCTAAATCGAACCAATCCAAGAACCAAATCTATATATATATATGATTTTTGTATATTGACATGTCTTTATATTACCATGGTCATGTATATTACTTCAAATTCCTATTTTCATGAAGTTTGTGCAATTGAATAAATTTTGAATTATTGATTTAAGAGCAATAGACTCTACTTCAAGTTAAATGATTTAGTCTATTGACAAGGTAAATGATTTAATATGAAGAATAAGAGAACTCATGAACCATATGTATGTGCATCTTTAAATAGGATGTTTCAAAATTCAAATGAAATGAAAGTTGACAAGCCCACTGATAGTAGTTGTGGTGAACACGTAAAGTCTCTTCAATCTAAAACACTTGGAAGAAGAAGAAAATGTTGATGCAAAATCAGAGATAGACAAATAAGAAAATAATGTTGATTCAATTATTTTTAATATAATAGAATCGTGGTTTCAAACCGAAATAACCCCAGCTACATTGGGTAAGTTTGGATTGGTCCTAGTGCATCATTGGTTTGGTTTTGGGTCTAAAAACATAGAACCAATAATGATTGGGTTGATTCCAAAATTAGAGTCAAACCGACCCACTAACATTCCTAATCCACACAACTCAACACTAGGGTTGGGTATAGAGTTATTCGAACTGCATAATCTACCCAACTTGAACTGATACACATACAAATGGGTGGTTTTGCAAACACAATACAGATGGATGCAGTTTGGAATATAGCATGATTGCGGATTGCGGGCTTAACCCACACCCGCAAGAACCCGCTTGTATTTAGACTTTTTCTTTTTTTTTAAAAAACCTAGACCGTTGTTTATCTGAAAAAAAAAAATGGATTTCATTGATATTGTTTTATTTTGTCTGTTGAATCATGCAAGCTCTTCTCTCAATGGTGATTAAAAATTTGTTTCTGTGACTATTTTGAATTTTTTATATTTTCAGTAACTCTTCCTCACATAGACTTGTTTATATTATAAAAAAATTAAAAGTGGAAATTGCAGCATTCTTTTATATTCATATTTCTTCTCTAATTAAAACTTCAGAAGCTTGGTTAACTTCCTTTTATATCTGTAATTTTTTTTTTCTAATTTCAATTACATATTGAGATTTAACCTATGAAATCAACAGTTACTCAAAAGTAATATGCTAAATGCAGATTATGAGCCCACAAATCTAGTGTAAAATTCAATGCTTTCAACTCAACTGTTTAATAGCTTCCTTTTTTTTTCTTTTTTTTTTCTTTTTGCACTGTCTAAATTTTGCTTGCACACTGTACGGGAGGGAGGGAAATATTTGTCGCTCTCCGTACTCCTCGTGTCCAAACTTCAAGTAATGTCGCTCAACCTAAGAACAGAAAGACGGTGAGCTACCCGGTGGGTGGTGGCCGGAATACCCCTCTTACGGTCAAGTTTGCACATTTTTTTAGAGACGGAGAAGACAAAAGAGAGAGAGCTATGATAACCAGAAGGTCTTAGTGTGTAAGGGTTTCAGACCTATGCATGAGGGCACTATGCCATTTATATAGTTTCTGAGCACGCCACCCTACCCGTCCTTTCTTAGACACGTGGATGTACTGCCTTCTTAACTCCCTCCACGTATAGGCGCAAATACAGCCAAACACTAATGATGAAACTGTCAAACGGTATTGACGCGTATGGATAGAGGAATCTCTTTCCTGCAATCCAATCATGCCACGTAGCAATTCCTATCGTACTATGTTCAGCACGGCGATACAATTTGTCCTTCAGACCATGCTACCTGCCCGGTCCTAACAAAACTTTGAACAAAGGCTCGACCGAGCTCACCAGTTCACAACGAGCTCATGCTCAACTGAACCTGGTCTGTCAAGGACAACTTCTGCCTAATACTTGATCAAATAATTCCCTTAACCGACCGGATTAGGACCTCAATCTGGATTATCTTCGACGATCGAGCTAATCAACCAGTTTGGTCTTCCGCATTAATTCCATCCTCATATGTTGAGATGTTCACCGCTTGATCTTGGTGCACGGCAGAACGGCCCAGCCTGGTTTAAAGGTTTTTATCGAAGATACCTTGGCTCAATAGCTGAGCTCAACAACTAACTCGGTCCAAGCTCCAGACCTTCGGCCAACCCAATTGAACCAATCCGAAACTTCAGCCCAACCCACGCTCAACCGAGGAAGCTCGATCGCGTGACCCAAAGATGTGTAGAGTTGTGACTAGCTTGGCCTGCTTGTTCGGTGCAAACTCCCCTCACACACACTATTATCACAGTGTTTGTTGGTGATTAGACATTGAAGATTTCTTTGCACCTGTAGATTCAGAATTATGTTTGCAATCTCTTTGATGTAATTTAAAATATTTTATAACAGTGTTTATGTTTTTAATTTTATAAGTTTTAATTCATTAATTATTAATATTGGAATATTTTAGAAAATGGGGGAAAAATGGCCCACGAGAAATATTTACAAAATGGAAAAAAAAAAAAAGGCTTAAAGATAAATTTTTAAAAGAAAAAAATTCAAATCTACAAACTGCCCGCACACCAGCGAACCCTATCCGGACAAACCGCATACATGCAGGGACCTCTCCGTTCACGAATAACTGAACCACTTTCCCCAAAACCTCCTAATAACAAATCTCTTCGCCTCTCCGGTAAACCCACAGACATAGTTCGTGTCAGAATCGGAATAGCCTTGATTGGAGCACAATGCTAAACATCAACATTATTATTAGTATATTTTTTAGATAACACAACAATAGATGGGGTCCAAACCGATCCGCAAACTGTTCAAAACCGAACCACGACCACCCCTACTCAACACTATCAATACTACAAGGGAAACATAATAATAATTATGTCAAAATTATAGAATTTGTTATATATATATTTTTAAACTCAAGGAAAGTCTAAAATTTACCCATAATAATAGGAGAATTTTTTTTAAAGTTTCTGATATTAAAATTTTATAAGATAAAGGATATACAATATTTTTATAGCAGCTAGGGTTTCTCAACATTTTCACAGAGAAAATTCGATACAGAAAAAATTCAACACAGAGAAATTTCACTAATATGATCATAGAGAAATTTCATCAAGAGACCTTAACTAATAATATATATTGGACCTCTCCCACGGCCCAAAGTTGAAGAGAGATATTTCACTAATTTTCCTATAATATTATGGTACAGAATATTTTTCTTTGTTAAATAGAAAGAGAAAAAAAAAATAGTGGTATTATACACATAAATTTGTACAAAAAACCATACAAAATGAATTGGTAAAAGTGTGCCCATTTATTTTAAACTAAAAGACTCGTTAAAATAATTTATAATTTTTTAAAAAGAATAAAGCTTAAGACTCTTAGTGGGGGTGTTGGGAGTCTCTCCTGATTGGCCAAAAAAACTGTTTTTATTTTTATTTTTTTGATTTCAGCCAGTGGCAACGCCCCACATAGAGGTGGCGGTGCTGGGGGTCGTGTTTTGCTGGGGTCTCCAGCAGAACTGTTTAAAAAATATCACTGTGATTTTATATATGATTTTTTTTTATTTACAAATTATTTAATAAAAAAAATGAACATAAAAATTTATGATCGTGACAAGTTGTTTCTGAGGCTATATCTCATTATTAGCATTTTTAATTTAAGAAAATTAGCAAGAAAAATAAAATTCTCAGATATTTTTCTATACAATAACAATATTATTAGAATTATTAATTAAAATACATTTATAACATTATTAAAAACTATTAATTAACTTAATAATTTATTAACAAAAATAGTCATTTATTATGTGATTTTAAATTTAGGTCAAGTTTAGCATATACAGAAAAAGTCAAAAAGCTAAAAAATTACTCAAAAAGTTAAAAAGTTAATACTATTCACCAAAAGTCAACAATTACGGCTACACAACTTTCGATCCTAATTTTCTCCTACAAATCAATTTTTACAATTTTTTATTACACATTTTTTCATAAAAAGTCAAAAAGTTAACCCAAACATCTATATTTTTTTTCTTAATTTTTTAGTCTAAAAAAACAAAAAGTGCACTTATTTATGACACCCCAAACAACCCCTTAAAACGACATAATATAATTTGTAAAATTATAAGAAATAATTTATATTTTAAATACATTTAAAAAGTGTATTTATAATTTATCTATCTCAATACATATCATGGCAACTTTTAATTGGACAATAGTTTTGCGTTAACCACTTGTCACTCATTAAATTAGATAAGGGTAATTTCATCATTTTAGTTTCTATAAAGAGGGAGATGGTGTGAAAACACAGAGAGGAGAGAGAAGGGGAGAGAGTTTTTGCGAGTCCGTTAATTTCAGTTTATATATAAATATTTGAATGAGTGAGAGAGAAACAACAATCAACTTGTTTAGTTTCAATTTTTAAAAAACATCTTTTAAAAAATTTTATTTTTTTAATTTTGTATTTCTTTGTTTTTATTATATTTTTCAAATATTTTAAATAATTTTTTTAAATTTGAATATACTGAACATAAATACACTTTAAAAATATAATTTTTATAATTTTTTTTAAAAAAATTCACTAACTATCAAAAATATAAAAAAAATACAAAAATTTAGTATATTTTTTATATTTTTGTGTATTTATTGATTTTATTAGATATTTTTTCATAAATATTTTTTATTTTTTAAATATATCTAAGTAAAATATATCTAAAAAATAAAAAAATTACTTAAAATTTTAAAAGTATTCACTAAAAATAAGGGTAATGCTAGAGACTTAAAAAATTCTATCAAAATTTTTACCAAATGTCACACTGTGAGACCCACACAATATAAATTCTATGTAAATCTCACATCTATATGAGACATTTGATAAAATTTTTGCGTGTCTAGCATTTTTGCTAAAAATAAACAAATACCCAAAATCAAAAAATTCAATTTTCCAAAAAAACTCTATTCAATTCAGAAAACTGTAACAGTGTCCGACCAGGACACAGCTGAAGCCCTAGAGTCTCTCCTTCGCCAAACAAACCCTAACTCCACCACATTCACCTCCTTCAACAGCATCGTTCACCATTTGGAGTCCAAGCTAGGGTTAGACCTCACTTCCAAGCTCGATTTCATCCAGAACCAGATCCCACCTCCTCCTCCTCCTCCTCCAATCTCACTCTCCTCCTCCACCACCACCAACCCCCTCCAAAAATTCACTTTCTCCTCCACCAAAACCCTAATTTCCACCAACCCCCTCCTTTCGCCTACGCCGAGCTCGGTTTCCGACCACCGCCGCCCCCAAAGACCGAATCCTCCGCCCCGCTTCTACTGACGCTGCCCTTACCGAATCCCCCAAAGAGAGGTATCTTTTGCTCAACCGCGCTTTTCGTTGGTGAGAAAATTCAGGGAATGAATAGAAAATGAATCACTTTCCTTTTTGGTTACGTTTGCTAAACAACCAATCGATGTTTGGATTTGTTTTTTCTCGAGTTGGTTAAAATTCACTGGCATCACGATATCGTAACTTGTAAGTCTGTTGTTTTGTTCCTTGATGTTTATTTTTCTATGAATTTGTAATTTTTGATGTAACAATGTTTATTGTTTGCGGTAACCCCAACGGGTTGGCTGAAACACTCTGTAAATGGAAATCCTATTCCCACATCCCCATGGGAATCTCTCATTTTTGGAGTAATATGACTTATTTAAGAATAAAACAAGTAGATGGTTCCATAATATTTAAAATTATAGTATATTATTATTTGAATAGAGGATTGTTAACCAAACCAAACATTTGAATTGTATTAACACAGAAATATTGTTATTAATAACAGAATTCCTAACAATAAGAATTTTATTACTTGTATTTGATTTTTTCCATCCAAACATAACTAACAATTTGATAATATTACCACTCATTTACTCGCATCATACCTTCATCCAATTGAGTATGGGTGTTGGCTATTGGATGAAACTAGGAAAAATTAGAAACATTAGGGAGGTGTTGCAAGTGGTATGTGAAGTTCATGTTTACCTTTGGCTCATGCATGGGTCCCATGCAGGGCAGGCTGTCCGTGCATGGCTCTGGTTGATGGTGGCATCCTTGGTGTAAGTTGTTATTATTACATCAAACATGACTACTTTGAATTTAGAATGGTCAATGTTGTGCATCACTTAAAAGAAAGTTCTGGGTATTGTGTTTGGAGAGTACTTTTGTCTACTAAAATGGTATTCTGCACGGATGTAACCCAACTTAGTCTAACTGAATACCCCTTGGCACACTACCCACGAGAGAGGTTGGATTAGGTGGTTGCTTTGCCAAAAAAAAAAAAAAGCAAAAGAAAAAAAGTGGTTGCGTTGCAATATGTTTGCAGAGTAGTTTCATGTGAGATGATGTTTACGTGCTAGAGTTCTTCATGCCAGTGAGCAACAAAGCTTGTGAAAACCACATACCTCATTCAGGAAAATATTAGAAACAATGAGGAACAGTTTCCAAACTTTTAGGCTTGCTTCTGGAGAAATTGAGGAAGAATTATGTATTGAAGAAATTGATTTTCAAAATGTTGGGAAACTTGATTTTGTTCAAACGCCCCAAACTACTATATTTTTGCGTCGATTAGGACCCTTACAAAGTGAAGGAGAGAGAATGCAACTGGATTCAGCTAATCGACAATTAATGAATGCCATAAATAATGGAAGCAATGTTATTGGTACAGAACATAACAAGACTGTGATTACTTGTACACAAGAAAAAGGCTTACTAGGGACGTCAAAAAGAAAAGGCTACAAAACTGGAGTTAAAATTAAAATTCCAATAGAGGATATCCTAAAAACATCCAAAATGAGCCTTGAGAATGCTGCAAGAAAAACTCGAAGGTATGCTTGCACTTTCATAAAGTAAAATGTAATGTTTACTTGTGATCTTGGTAGTTATTTCAACTAGATAGACTCTTTTGGTAGAGAATATATATTTGAGCATTGTGCAGAAACAAATAGAAAGCAATTTCTCTTATTTGGATTCTTTCTTTTGCTGTGAGCAAATCTATGTTGGTATCGAGAGGTGGCCACCTCGCATGATAAATGAGGCTAGTTGCTCTCAGCTCAATGAATCTGCCCTGTATGTTGATCAGGAACAAATCCTACAATTGAATTCTGATCATCCACCTTTGTACATTTGAATTCTGATCATCTGCCATCTACTCAAGCCTTGGCCACTATCGAGCCACATGATACAATGATGCAAGATGTGAAAGATGTGACTGTAAAAGCAAATATGGAGATATTACAATGAGGTTTTATTTGTCTTTGTCATCGATTTTCATACAGTTGTAGGAAGAAGTGGCTAAGAGGTGAAACCTAATGGCTAGGACTTGTGATGTTGTGTATATATATGAGCAAGGTGAATAGGTTTTAATGAGTATTGATGGTGACTTACAGGATTATATGCAACGATCTAGATTGCTAGGCCAAACTTCTATTATGGTATTTATTTTGCCAAAGTTGCCAAGTGCACCCACTAAAGAGTTTGATTGGGTGCAAGTGTCAAATTTGGATCAAGCAAATACCACAATAGAAGTTCTGCCTAGCAAAACTCACATACAATCTTGTAAGTCCCTGCTGAGCAACTTGAATCTTGTTAAATAAGCACTTTCTCTTATACTGCCTTAGCTTTAACTAGTGAAATTTTACATTTTGTGTAGTTATGGTGGTATTTATTTTATTCAGTTGCAAACTTACTAGGAGATATGCATGTATCCCATTCGTTATCACATTAACTACCTTTTATTTTTTCTCTTTCAATAATTTGATGGTAGTATTTCCCAATGGCAATCCCTGGATTTCTTATTTGTAACTACTATTTCTTCTACAAAATATATGAAGAATTTGAGGTTAGTCTCCCATTTCACTCACAAAATGGCATTTTCAATGTCTTGTTAGTATTGATTACTCATTACACTCTCTCTCTTAGAACATCTACAGTGGTGTGTTTGTTTGTGTAACACGTTGGTGGGGGTTTGCCTGTTCAAAGAGAAAAATAATGCTTTAACGGAAGTGTTAAAACACTGTTAAATTTGTTAGTTGTTAATGTGTTTGCTCGTGTGTTAACCCCTCTCAGCATAGTTAACAAACACATTAACAATTGACAAATTTAACTACCAACAGTTGTTGGCTATAATGAAACCAATGAAAACCCACATACCTCATTGATGAAAATATTGTAAACAATGAGGAAAGATTTTCATACTCTTACGCTGTGTTTGGTTGGGGGATTTGGGGAGAGATTTGGAAAATGAAAGGAAAAGGTGTGTGAAATTAGGTAAAATATAAGTATATTTTATTTACATTTTACTCTTTTTTTCCGTTTCCCGTTCCTAATCCCTTAACCAAACACAACATTAGGGTTGCCTCTGGAAAAGAACATGGGGAAGAATTACATATTGAAGAAATTGGTATTCAAAATGGTGAGAAACTTGATCGTGTTCAAATGCCTCAAAACTACTATATCCTTGCCTCGGTCAGAACCCTTACGAAGTGAAGTTGAGGTAATGCAAGAGGATTCATCAAATCAACAATCAGTGAATGGCATAAATACTGGAAGTAATGTTGGTGGTAAATACTGGAAGTAATGTTGGTGGTACAGAAGGTAACAACATTTCTATTACTTGTACGCAAGAGAAAAGCATAGTAAAGGCATCAAAAAGAAAAGGCAACAAATTTGGAGGCACAATAAAAGCGTCAAAAAGAAAAGGCAACAAATCTGGAGTTAACATTAAAATTTCCTTGGAAGATATCCGACAAACTTCAAAAATGAAACTTAAGATGCTGTGGAAAACCTCCAAGGTATATATGCTTTCATAAATTAAAATATAATGTTGCTTGTGATCTTGGTAGTTATTTCAACTAAATGGACTCTTCTAGTAGAATATATATTGAGCTTTTTGCATAAACAAATATAAAGTAATTTCTCTTATTTGGATTCTTCCTTTCACAGCTAGCAAATCTACATTGAAACGTGCATGTAGAGAGTATGGTATCGACAGGTGGCCACCTTGCAATATAAACAAGGCTGGTCACTATCAGCTCAATGAATTGGCTCGTGTGTTGATCTAGAACAAAGCTCACAATTGAATTTTGATCATCTTCCTTCTGCTTAACCCTCGGCTACTATTGTTCACGCCAAACCACATGATACAACGGTGCAAGATGCGAATATTGTGACTATAAAAGCAAAATATGGAGAAGTTATTGCAATTAAGTTTCGTTTGTCTTTGCTGCCGAGACTTGTAGAGTTGTAGCAAGAAGTGGCAAAAAGGCTAAACCTAGGCGCTGGAACCTATTGTGTCAATTATAAAGACGAGAACGCAATTTGATTTTAATAGCTTGCGATGAGGACTTACAAGGTTATATGTGTATTGCTTGGCAGCACTTCTATTGTGCTATTGCTTGAGCCACAGTTGTCAATTACCCACTGAACAACTTAAACTATGCCTTAGCTTTGACTAATGAAATTTTACAATTTGTGTAGTTATTGTGGTATTTTTTTCTATTCATTTGCAAATTAACTTGGAGATGTGCATTTACACTATTGGTTATCACTATCCTTAGGAGGGTATTTTTTTTTATTTTTTCAAGAATTTGATGGTAGTGTTTCCTAGAGATCCTTACTAACTACTTGAGACTGTTTATTTTTAGGGTTAAATTCACTTTACCCCTTTATGGTTTGGTGATGGAGTATTTTACCCCCTTAGCGTTCAAATATAGTTAGGAAGTCCCCATTTGATTTTGGACTCAAGTGTTACTATTTGTTTTTCTATCCAAATTAACGGAAGGTGTATCATATACACCATTTTTTAGAGTGAGTTTTGTTTTCTGAAAAATTATCATGAAATTAATATAATAAAAAGATAATTTCACCTCCATTTTCTTCAAACCTAAAAGCAGATTAATATGTTAATTAAAATAAATTAAATTAAATTAAAATATAATTAAGAATTGATCTAAAATATAATTAAATAAAATATAAAATAAACAATATTAAGAATTGCTCTAAAATGTAATTAAATTAAAATTAGATTAACATGTTAGAAATTATAATAACTAATTAAGAATTTAGGATTAATTGTGATCTAAAAATATAATTAAATTAAAATTAGATTAAAAAGTTAGTAATTACAATAAATAGTTGAATATTCAGGATTAATTGTGATCTAAAATATAATTAAATTAAAATTAGAATAAAAAATAAGAATTGCAATAAATAATTAAGAATTTATAATTAATTCTGATTTAATTGAATTAATACTAGACATTATAAATTATGTGTATGCGATATGAGAGAGACAGAAAATAACAAAAAATATAAGATTTGAAGATATTATAGTTATTTCACATCTATAGTTAACGGTGTTAACGGTTTGATTTTAGTCCAAAAGCACATGGGGTCCTATTGGTAAAAATTTGGCTTAAGCCCAATCGGCGGTGATTGATCGACATTCTTAAATAAATTTTCACATAAACACAAAAAAGATCAGACTTGTAGTTGAGTTCTATGCTTTAAACAGATTAAGGACTTCCATAGAGGTAATAAAGAATAAACAGAACAGAATATGTAGTATTCAAATAAATTGTCACTTGTTACAAGTTGCATGAACTTCAACAAGAACAAATAACTGAAAATACAACAATCGACAGAAGAAAAGAAATGAGGATTGGAAAAAACTAATACTAATCTACTCTTAAATTTGTTAATTCAACTACTCCTAACTAGAAGTTAATATCATAAATTGTGAGTGGTTTGAGATGATTGATCTTTGCGTCTCTCTTTGTTTATTTATAGGCTTAAACACATGACAGAGAGATAATCTAAGCTCACAATTTCCTCAACAAGCCCGTGGTTCCTCAATATGCCATGATTTGTTCAACACTATCCATATCACATGTTTGATAAGAACCACATTGTAGATTTTGTGTTTGACTTAGTCTTGACTTTTTAATCTAAGAAATTAACTTTCAAATAGCTGTGATAGCTAACTCTTATGACTCCGTTTAATATATCATTATGTCACCTCACTAGCACACTCATCAGGCCACGTCGATGTTCCTTAAAAATTATCTGTGATACACGTGTAGTTGCTATTTTATACTTCTACTTTTTGCACCATAAAATAATAATAGTAAGATTAATTGACTGATCGACAGACGAGCAATTCTTCTCTGCCTATAGGCCACATGATCAGATGATAGTCAATCTAGTGAGCACCTTTCTTTTGAACAAAAGGTTGAGCTGGCAAAACCAACTAAATCACCAATTATCTATATATCACATGCATGCATACATATAAATATTATATATATATATATATATTCCTATGCTGACAAAGCCGATTACGTATACATGCATGCTTTATATATATATAAAGCATGCACACGATAAAAGCAATTGGAAATAATTTGTGGGCAGATCACTAATCCGGCGACCATTTGTAGTGGATTATTTTTCTGGCTTGTAGCTATTTAATCGACAAGCCACAATAAAATTAGATTTGGTCATAATTAATTGACCACAATTAACAAAAAAAACAAAATATGATATCAACAATGCCAAACATTTAAGGTAAAAGTAAATTTTGTCTTAAATGAATTAGACAACTAAAATAACATTTTTTTAACCATTATTGTTTTTCAAACCATATCACAAAGGCTAACTTGTGATGTGATCCATATATCCAAAGTGGATGTTGGATTCAAAACTCACACAATTGAATGTCATGAAAAATGTAGAAATTTTGACAGCTTGAACAATGTCAAAAAATTCACATCCAATAAATGTGGATTGTTCATAATTTTCAGCCACCTTTGGCCTAAAACTATGCCCCCCATGTTCAGAATTTTTGTGACGCCCCAAAATTATCCAAATTTTTTGGGCATCACAATTTTCAACCATCATTGGCTTAAAATCATTCCCCCAAATGAATTTTTATCATTATTTTGTGATTAAATTTTAACATTTTTTTAGAGAAGCACTGCTGAAAAAATCACTTTTAGCGGCCACTATAGGTATTAAAAACGTCATTAATTCTTTTTGTGATGTTTATAACAAACGCCGACAACGCAACCGCCGCTATAGTTTATGGCGTTTGAAAAACGTCGTTATATTAGTATTGGCGGCGTTTTTAAAAACGCCCGCTAAATGTGATAAACAACGATAAAATAACGTCATCTTTATTTAGCGACGTTTTAAAAATGCCGTAATAAATTTTTTCCTTTGTAAAAACGCTGTTATAGCTTGTTTTTAAATTTTTTTTGAAATTGTTTTCTCTTGCTTTCTCTTAGTCAAAAGACTGAAGCAAAATAAATAGTGTCACCTGCCTTTGGTCTCTTCTAAAGTAAATTTGTCAGAAAATTTATTTTATGAACCAAACATATGATCTACTCATGGAGCCCGGATTCTCGGCCGCCCTTTCCGGCGGCCGTGCCAGCAGCCCCCCAAAACGACGTCGTTTTGGGGGTTATTTTGAATTTTTTTTTTTCTCTCTTCTTCCTCGTTGGAAGACCGAACCAGAGGGAGGGGAGGGGAGGGAGAGAGAGGGGGGGAGGGGAGGGGAAGGAGAGAGAGAGGAAGGGAGAAGAAGAGGGAGCACCTAAATAACAATAAAATGGCGTCATCCAAGTATTTAGCGACGTTTTAAAAATGCCGTGATAGATTTTTTCCTATTTTCAAATATGACAGTTGGCACTGTAGTGGCGTTTGTAAAAATGCCGCTATAGTTTTTTTCTTTTTTTTTTTTGAAATTGTTCTCTCTTGTTTTCATCTTGTTTTCTCTTAGTCAAAAGACTGAAGCAAAATAAATAGTGTCACTTGCCTTTGGTCTCTTCTAAAGTAAATTTGTCAGAAAAATTATGTTATGAACCAAACATATGGATCTACTCATGGATGGCCAACTTTTGGTAATTCCTGTCAACAGTAAATTAAATAATGGATGAAATTTATTTTTAGAATCTACTGCATGCAATTTGCTAATCAAGCATGCCTAGTTGCAATCATCTCATTTTGGTCCTTCACCATCAATCATGATTCTGCGCTACCAAAAATAACAAAAAAACGAAAAAAAAGAGATTTACTGAGACCAACAAAAAAAATATATCCGAGTCTTTTCATAGCCCTTTCTCAGACCTCATACAACCTCCCTCATCTGCAGATGTACGGCTACCACCAAGAAATTCTGGCAACTCACTGAACAATCACAATTATAACCAAGAGTTACAAATGGTTAGACTTCTGCACAAGGAAAAAACAGCATATTTAAATCCTAAAAATTCTAATTATTTACCTATCATCAATTATCTCAAGCAATTTACTTTGAAATTTGCTGCTAAGAACCTGAGAAAAAAATGAAAAATAATTGATCCAACATATGATTCTGTTATGATGTGTGCACTTTCAATAGATAAAAGTCAACTCTTTTAACGTACATGAATCTTCGAAGCTGTTTTGGGATCAACGAAACCCTTCGCTATGTTCTAGAGCAGCCTAAAGCCAGAACCAGCATTTATAATAAACATACGACCAAGTGTCTACAGAATTGTAATTCCAAAAGTGATCCATCTTTCAGGTGGATATATACAATTCAAAATTCAAATGAACAACGTAAAGATGGCAGGTGTGGGGATATATTTTCTGAGTATCAACACGTGACAAGGTGACGCCGATGTGTCAGCCGAGGTGCCACGTGTCTTGGTCGTTGTGCCGAGGTCATCTCGGCTAGGCCGAGGTTGCCTCCGAAGATATCGAAATCTGAGATAAGCAGATAAGGAACAAGAGTTCTAGAATGAAGAGGGAACTCAACTTGGATATGGACAAGAGTCCTAGATTGGGAGAAGACTTCAGTTTGGGTAAAGATAAGACTCTTAGAGAGTTTATCCTAATCCCACTATGAGTTCCAGATTAGCAGTAATCCTAAGTCCATTAGGGTCAGGCTCCTATTGGGACTAGGATTGTATTGGCTATAAAAGAAAGGCACCCCCATGGGTGTAAGGTATGCTTTTGATACTCAAGCTTGTGAGTTTATTACTTGATTATCTTTGAGAGATATACTGACTTGATTGTCGGAGTGCCCCCGGGTGGTCAAAACCACCGCGGAATTCTTATATTTCTGTTGTAGGTCAGTCAGGTGCCATCTATTCTGCCAGTGCTCTCCAGCTGGTTACTAAGCGGGCAGTGTGGTCGGAAAATCATGCAAAATACACACCTGGATACACACAGAACATGGGATCGCGCAAAGGAGGCAAAGTATGAAAGACATGCAAAATATTCTAAGTATAGAATCATGCAAGAGCAGTTAGAAGAAGATCAAAACAGAATTCGTCGTGATTGACACGCCTTCACCTTACAACATCATCTTGGGAAGGCCATAGTTGCATGCAATGGGGGCAGTTCCCTCAACGTTGCATTAACTATTGCGGTTTCCCACAGAACATGGGATTGAAGAAGTCAGAGGAGACCAACTGCAGGCAAAGAATTGCTTCATGGCAGCAAT